TAAAACCCTCCCTCTTTTCCTCCGTACCCAAATCTCTAAAAACAGGGCTAAAACGGAGCTGATCCAGATTTGTGTCCGATATGACGTAATAGCGGAAATGTAGGCTGGCTTTACGCCCACGGCACTATCAGAAACAATGCCCGACTGCCTCAAAAGGCGGAGCAGCGAGCCCTGCAACCCCGCCAACACGGCACCCAGACCTTTAAAACATACGTCCTTATTTAAATACCCCACTATTTTTAAGAAAGAAAATATCACAAATATCTAAACGTATTCACTTGATCAACTGTTAAGAAGCAGAATCTACATCAGTCAGAGCAACCTTTAAAAAACAATTGTCCCTTTGCCGCATCAGCATGATAATACATTTCACTCAAAGTGCCACTAACATGGGAGCTCATCAATAATGAAATCTTTAATCATTTTAGACTTGACCCATCCCTACAGAGAAACACGTGCAAAACAAATAAAAGTGCAGAGCTTTGGTTATTTTTGAGAACATTCATTTGAAGCAAAAAATATCATTTTCAGTATTCAAAATAAACTGAATAGGACAGGATTTTTCTTTAAGCGCAGCTCTTGCACCCACTTGCCATTTGTTCACAACTCGTTGGTTCAAAATGACACAACTCTTCCATTCAGTGGAAAAAATGAAATGAAAACACCAACCAGACGCAGAGCGAGCTGTAGAACCAGTTTTCTTGGGAACCTCCTCCCACATTCTTCAAACTTCTTCTGCAGGTCTGTGCCGAGCCGGTCAATAACCATGAACCTGTACCTGGAAGGAACAAACAATGCGTCTGTAGTGCTTCTTAGGTGTCACATTAGCCCCACTGCAGTACAGTGTTTGTGTAGCTCACTTTATTCTGAGCTGTAAGATCAGGTATTTTTGACCATTCATTTTATGGTTAGATGTCAAATTGCCAAGTTCAAATAAGTAAGTGTCCTTATTCATTGTGTTGTGTCACGTTTGTCTGTAAATCCAAAAGCTGTTCAAATCCTAAAGAAACGTAACCAGCTCACTCTTTTTTCAATACTCCAGAGTATGGAAGTTTTTTGCATGTTGCAGACAATTTGTACTTGTGTTAGGTTATTCCGATGATATTTTAACAAAATCTTGTATCGTATAGGGTTCATTTACACTACCAAACTCTTGGATCAGGAGTTGTTTGCGCCTGATGGAAGACTAAAAGTGTGAAAGGTGAAACTTGACTTGAGAAATGGCTTACCTTTTCCCTCCTCTCTCATGCAGACCTGAGCCCCAGTACCTTGGAACGCCCAGAACGTTCAGCTTGTGAGACTTCACCCAGCTCTGAACTGCAGGACAAGATGTTGTTTGAGAAATGTGCTGAAAGTATGTGTAATGCCCACTCAACCAAGGACAGTGGGGTTGCTACCGTTTCATGCGGCATGCTGCTGACTGGAGCTGGGGTAACTGGGTGATGGCTGTAATGCTTAAAGTAACAAGAGTAGAATTCCATGGAGGGTGGGGCGGAGGGGGGGGGTGTGCAGCACTGCCGCGAGCTAATCTGCTGCTGGGACAAATATTTACCAACAACGTGAGATTCCAGCATGAATAAAATATGAGCCTTTGGTTCCTTAGTAATATAACAGTTAATTGTCAGGGGAGATTGACATTTGGATTGTTATTATATAAAATGCAAAGCTGTGGCCTGGGGGCCAACAGCGCTGCCACCAAAAGCTTCCCTTCCTCTGCAGAGCCCCCCCGCACCTCAGACACAAGATTGTCTTTTTTAATTAAACAACTTTCTTTCTTTTATTTGTTTGCCGTGCTGGAGAGAGTTGTGTTATGATCACAAGGCTACCTTTAGTTAATGTCATACTTCTAGGTGTGTGTGTTTGAGGGTGTGTGTGAGGAATGGTAAGTTGGCTTACTCAGGTCAGGTTTAGCAGCTCTCATGTAGAACTTGAGCTCCGAGAACAGTGGTCCATTGTCACTGGGCTCCTGTGGACAAAAGAACCAGATAACTGATCAGTTTCCATTCAGCATGTTAACTCTCAGCTGAGTCCAAAACTGATGTTTAAATTAACAAAATTAACACTTCCGATACCAATGTTTTTAGCCATTTCACTAAATGACATTTAGTGTCTTTTGGCTCGGACAGAAAAATTCTCGGGCTGTTTTAATGTTTTTCTTAAGGCCCGGACACACCAAGCTGAAACCAAAGAACTGACACAGACGGACCCGACTGTTGCGTCGCTTCGCGTCTCTGCGTCTTGGCCAACTGTCGCACTGGAACACACCGCAAAGACTTCAGCCGACGGCCAAGAAGCACGTACGAACTGCGCATGCGTGAGTGGCAATAACTCTCCTTACCAGCAGGCGGCGGTAGTGTGTATTCTTCATTCAAAAGAGGCAACAACCGGAAGACAGACTGCGTGATAACCGAGAGAAGAAGAACAGACTGCGTAATAACCGAGAGAAGAACAGACTGCTTGATATAAACAAACAACAAATAGCGTGTGCGTTCCATTTTCACTCTACAGCGAGAAGCTCATGGGGCTTTCCCGAACCTGTATCGAGAGCTGGAGTTAAAGAGCCTGTGACACGAACCCAACAACTGTTGTGCAATGAAATAGTGAGCTACTAGTAATCTCGAACCGTTAGTTTAAAAAAGAAAAAGCGATACCGTTCCGATAAATATCAATCATTTCGAACATAGCGGGAAAATTCTTTCGACTCATTTTGAGGTTTTGGGGGAAGCCGGAAGTGACGTCAATGCGGGAACGCTTCACTGTGCGGCGAGAGAGACAAACAAGGACAAAGTGTGTTGCCATGCGTAGAAATGGTGAATTACTGAGTTGAGGCACGTTAATAACGTTTAATGAAGTTGACTACAGTATATTCATATTTGTCAGTGCTTTCATGTCAATTCGGCGAACATAAACATAAATGATCGTGGTGAAGATGATGATTAAATTAGGATTAAAAATCGGTAGTGAGAGCTGCTGAATTTCCTCCCGTCGGATGTGATATAAAAACAAATCGATTATTTTTGTAGTTGTAAACTCAAGTGGATGAAACTACATTTATTAGTGCTTTCATGTCAATTCGGCGAACATATGATACATTAAATGATCGTGAGGATGATGATTTAAAAATCTTTTAACATAATCTGATAATTTTTTTCTCTTTAGTACGAAGTTTATCACCCCATCGCCGCATGGGGGCGCAGTTGCGGGTGATTGATGGTGACTGACGTGGATGTTTTTTGATTCAAACAAAAGAGTAGATGTCCTTTACGGTCTG